AGCAGATGAAAGTGTTGATTGAAGTCTTGGACTTCTGATTCCTGAATCAAAGTGATGTTTTGTGGCTTAGCCAGAGAGGGAGAAGGGCCTGTGATGTCTGGAGTTTTCCACCAAGCGGAAGCAGATGGCCTCTGATAGGCAGATGTTAAGATAAGACTCCATTGCTTGCAGCATGAGCAGTGTGTCTGTGCCTTCAACATGCTGATCTAAAAGGGTTTTACATCAGAGAGGGGAGGGGGCGAATCACAGGAGAGCATGCGTTTTTTTTTAGAAACGGACTTTGCTCTGAAGTGCAGGCTGGAGTGCAGTGGTGCCGTCTCGGTTCACTGCAGCCTCCACCTTCTGGGCTCAAGCAATCATCCCACCTCAGCCTCCTGAGTAGCTGGGACCTCAGGCTCACGCCACCAGGACCGAAGAATTTTAAACTTTTTGTAGAGACAGAGTCTGCCTGTGTTGCCCAGGCTGGTGTCCAGCTCCTGAGCTCAAGCATTCCACCCACCCCACCTCCCAGAGTGCAGGGATTGCAGGCGGGAGCCAGGGCACCTGGCCTGCAGAGTGCCTTTTTTTTTTTTTTTTGAGACGGAATTTTCACTCTTGTGACCCAGGCTGGAGTGCAATGGCGCGATCTCGGCTCACCGCAACCTCCGCCTCCTGGGCTCAGGCAATTCTCTTGCCTCAGCCTCCTGAGTAGCTGGGATTACAGGCACGAGCCACCATGCCCAGCTAATTTTTTGTATTTTTAGTAGAGACGGGGTTTCACCATGTTGGCCAGGACAGTCTCGATCTCTTGACCTCGTGATCCACCCGCCTCGGCCTCCCAAAGTGCTGGGATTACAGGCTTGAGCCACTGCGCCCGGCTCAGAGTGCCTTTTTAATGGGGTCAGTGGCTGAGACTTTTAACGCACACGGCCCCTACTGGGAGGAGGCGGGGCGCCTAAGGAGGCTTCCGGGGAAGATGGGTCCTCCCACAGGCTCACACCTAGGCAGCCTCGTGACCTGACCAGCATGGAGTGGGTGATGGAGTGGACTTTTCCTGCAGGGTCCAGCCCTACAGGGTCTCGTGGGTGTTGTTTTGTGTGAGGAGATGAAAGATCGTAGAAAAAAAAAAAAAAGGACTCAGAGATGAGAGAAGAATTCAGCTGGGTGGGGGACCACTGCTACCAAGGGGCAGAGTCCAGCAGTGGCCCCAGTGCCTGGAAACGCTGATACTTACTGTATACAAGGCAGCGGGGCAGGGCCGGAGAGTGGCTCATCCTACATGATTGGTAGGGGCCAAGCAAATCACATTCTTACAATACGGGGGGCCGCGTGGGTACCGTACAGAGGGCCCCTCCCTCTCAGGCAGCCGCTGCAAGGAGGGGAGGCACTTACATCGGTACCTTTCTATGCACTTATCAGAGAGAGCAAAGGCTCTTACGATTCCTCTGTTCTTACTTCTCTTTTAAGTATAAAGAAGAGGAAGAAAGAGAAAGAGGAAGAGGGAGAGAGAATGGGGGTATTGCTTTGTTGCCCGGGCTAGAATGCAGTCTAAATATGGGTATGCCTATAATTGTCCTTAATAATGGAAACATGAAAGAAAATGAGGGAAGAGAGTAACAAACAAGGAGCCAACCAACATTTCGTTTAAACTTCTAAGTTGATATGATGTGATACTGATAAGAGTGTATATTTTGTGTAAAGTGGAGAGTTCTATAAATGTTAATTACGTTTACTTGTTCCAGATCTGAGTTCAAGTCCTGGATATCGTTGTTAATTTTCTGTCTCATTGATCTGTCTAATATTAATGTTGAAGTCTCCCACTATTATTGTGTGGGAGTCTAAGTCTCTTCATAAGTCTTGTATGTCTGGGTATTCGTGTATTGGGTGCGTATACATTTAGGACCTTTAACTCTTCTTGTTGTTGCATTGATTCTGGTATCATTATATAATGTCCTTCTTTGCTTCTTTTGATCTTTGTTGCTTTAAATACTATTTTATCAGAGGCAAAAATTGTAGCTTCTGCTTTTTATTTATTTATTTTTGCTCTCTGGTTGGTTGGTAAGTCTCTCTCCATCCTTTGTTTTGAGTCTTTGTGTATCCTTGAATGTGAGATGGGTCTGGATGCAGCATACAGTTTTAGTTTTTTGTCCAAATTGGCTGTCTGTCTTTGAATTGGGGAATTTAATCAATTTAAATTTAGAATTAATAATGATATATGTGAGTTTAATACTGCCATTTGCCCATTAGTTGATGTAAATTCTTCATTATATTGATGTTGTTTACTTTTTGGTATTTTTTAGAAAGGCTGATACTGTTTGTTCCTTTCTATGTGTAGTGGTTCTTTCAGAAGCTCTTGTAAAGCAGGCCTGGTGGTGATGAATTCTCTGAGTGCTTGCTTGTTCACAAAAAACTTTATTTTTCCTTCACTTATGAAGCTTAGTTTGGCTGGATGTGAAATTCTTGGTTGAAAGTTCTTTTCTTTAAGGATGTTGAATATTGGTCCCCACTCTCTTCTGGCTTGTAGGGTTTCTGCTGAGAGATCTGCTGTAAGTCTGATAGGCTTCCCTTTGTGGGTAACCTGACCTTTCTCTCTGGCTGCCCTTAGTATTTTCTCCTTCATTTCAACCCTGGTGAATCTGACGATTATGTGCCTTGGAGTTGCTCTTCTTGAGGAATATCTTTGTGGTGTTCTCTGTATTACCTGGAGTTGAATATTATCCTGCCTTACTAGGTTGGGAAGATTTTCCTGAATAATATCCTGAAGCATATTTTCCAGCTTGGATTCATTCTCTTCGTCACATTCAGGTACACCTATCAAGCGTAGATTAGGTCTTTTCACATAGTCCCATGTTTCCTGGAGACTTTGCTCATTCCTTTTTATCCTTTTTTCTCTAATCTTGTCTTCTTGTTTTATTTCATTAAGTTGGTCTTCGACCTCTGATATCCTTTCTTCTGCTTGATCAATTCGGCTGTTAAAAATTGTGCATACTTCACGTAGTTCTCGTATTGTGTTTTTCAGCTCCATCAATTCACTTATTTTCCTCTCTAAATTTTGTATTCTTGTTGACATTTCGTCAAACCTTTTTTCAAAGTTCTTAGTTTCTTTAGATTGTGTTAGAACAAGTTCTTTTAATTCACAGAAGTTTCTTATTATCCACGTTTTGAAGCCTGCTTCTGTAATTGGAACACACTCGTTCTCCATCAAGCCTTGTTCCGTTGCTGATGAGGAACTGGGATCCCCTGCTGAGGGAGAGGCGTTCTGATCTTGGGTAGTCTCAGCCTTTTTTGGCTGTTTTCTTCCCTTCGTTGTAGATTTATCCCTCTGTGGTCTTTATAATTACCATCTTTGTAATTGGGTTTCTGAGTGGACGTCCAACTTACTGATTCTCAGCGCCGAAATCTGAGCAATGCACTGCACCGACCAAATCAGCGGCGTTAAGATTGGTGGTGCTTTTCTGACTCTGCACCGAGAACCGACGCTCCGAGGCACCGGCAAAACCGCCTCGCCGGTCACAAGAGTCGCGCTGGCGACCCGTGGGGCTCCTCCGCTGGGAATCTCCTGGTGCGTGAGCAACAAGAATTCATGTGAAGGTGTGGCGTCCTCTCGTTCTTTGCATTTTCACTGGGAGCTACAATCCCGAGCTGCTAGTGATCAGCCATCTTGGATCTCTCCAGATGAATATATTTCTCTGTTCTTACTTCTCACAGCTTCTGAGAATTTACAAGGGTGCGTCAGGTGGGAAAGTGGAACATGAAGGTGGATGAGGTTGGTGACCGTCGGAGCATGGCACCTTGGAGAGGTGTTTAAGCCCCCGGATGTCTGTGGGTCGGCTGGCCAGTGTCACACCTTCCTCGAGAGCCGGCAGAGCAGAGTTTTCTCTGAACTCCCCAGTGAGAGGGAAACTCCCCCTCACGGCCTGCTAAGTCACGGGGCGTCTGACGGGCACCTTCCCAGTCACTGGCGCTACCGCGAGGCATTTCCTCTCACCTCCTGAGCACCTCTCACAACGTCCCTTAAGTTCCGAGTTATATTTCACCCGATGTCTATACTATAAGACTAAAATGTTCCTACACTAAAGCCTACAAGATTAATAGAGAATAATGATGTAATAAGATTGATTATGTAATTGATTATGTGATTGAATCTAATAGGTGTCATTGCTGTAACTAAGTAATCAGTAAATACATCATTGCTATAACTAATCAGTAAATCTGTTTGGTATCATTGCTATAACTAAGTACTCATTTATTATGCTGGGACAGATTGTGCCTTCAGTCTCTTGCTGTGGCACCTGGGCAGCTTTCCTCCCATAGTCCCTGTGGTAGGGACTGGAGCTGTGTCCTCCAGGGCCCCCATCTCCCTGCTGCTCACAGCCCTTGTCCCAGGACCACAGCCTAGACCTGTCAAGATCCCCAGGCCCAACTTGGCTGCAGCCCCTCTAGGGCTAACTTGCCAGGGAGGCCCCTGGGTCAGTGCAGTCATACCACGTGAGGGTTTGTGTGCCTGGGAGGTGGTGTTTCCTCCGTTGCTTAGGAAGGCGGGGCCATGGCACCAGGTCCTGTGGCTGGCAAATGCAGGGGAGAGAGGGTTTGCAAGGGAGAGGGGGTTTATAGAGGAAAGGAGGTTTGCAGGGGAGAGGAGGTTTGCAGGGGAGAGGAGGTTTGCAGGGGAGAGGAGGTTTGTAGGGGAGAGGAGGTTTGTAGGGAAGGGGGTTTGCGCAGGAGGAGCCTGGGCCACTGCATTCCAGACCTGCTCTCTGAGCAAAGGCTGGGCTGATGGCCTGGATCCCAGGCACTGTCACCTGCAAGAAGCCAGCTTGAGGGAAATGGTCCTGGAGGCAGCTGTGCTGAAACCCCTTGCAGCCCAGTGACGGCCCCTCCGGGATGCCCTGCTCGACAGCCAGGGTCCAGCAAGGGGGTGGACAGAGGGCCCGGACTGGACACAGACCCACACTGTAGGCCATGGCCCACAGGGGTTGCCCTCCCCCTGACCTTGGCTCACCTGCCGCCTTCATCTGCAGGACTGGGCCCAGGTCTACAGGGCTCAGCTGAGCCCATGACCTCCCAGAGCTAACCCCTGACCACCTCGGCAGGCAAGGGGCTGATGTCGGTAGCCCCCATCCTGGAGGGGCAGGTAAGACCCCCGCCAACACCTCGTCCCACCCGTGCCTCCAAAGGCCCCAACCCCTCACTCTTTCGCCTCACCTCCATTTGGCCCCGCCCTCCCTGTCAAGGACTGCACCTCAGCTGTGGCCCTGCCCCATCTGCATTTGCCTCAACCATCTGTCACGGCCCGGCCCATGCTACAGCCCTACCCACTTCCATTTGGCTCCGCCTACCCTATTTCTATTTGGGCCCTCCCTCCCCACCACAGCCCTGCCAATCTCTACTTGGCTCCAGCCTCCCTGCCTCAGACCCACCCTATCTCCATTAGGCCACTCCCACCACAGCCCCGCCCATCTCCATTGCCTCCACCCTCTCTGCCTAGGCCCCACCCTCCCTGTCTTGGCCCCACCCCATCTCTTTGACTCCACCCTCCTGCCTTGGCCCCACCCCATAACTGGCCACGCCCTCCCTACATCAGCACCATTCCTTTTGACTCCACCCTCCCTGCCTCGGCTCCACCCCATCTCTTTGACTCCGCCCTCCCTGCCTCAGCCCCACTGTCCTTGGCTCCACCCTCCCTGCCTCGGCCCCACCCCATCTCTTTGGCTCCGCCCTCGTGCCTTGGCTCCACCCCATATCTGACCACGCCCTCCCTACCTCAGCGCCGTCCCCTTTGGCTCCGCCCTCCCTGCCTCGGCCCCACCCCATTCTGGCTCCGCCCTCCTCCCTGGTGCAGGTCACTGCGCACCTCCCGCTCTCAGCATGGCACTGCCACACCTCGCCCTCCTGGCTGGCCTTCTGGTGGGAGTCGCCAGCAAGTCCATGGAGAGCATGGTAGGTGCCCCCGTCACGTGTCCATGTGGCTCACACCAGGAAGTCAAGCCAGAGCCTCTGGGGAGGGCAGTGGGCCCGTCCCCTAGAGGGGTCTGACCCTTCGAGGTTTAGAAGTCGCTGATGTCCCAGCCCCAGAGGTGCTGACTGGGTCCCCTGTTGGGGTCAGAGGGGAGCCCTGAGCTGCCTCCGGGTGAGCACCTGCTCAGGAATGGCTGGTTCAGGTGGGGCCCCCACGGTGAGGCATCCTTGCCCCACTGGGAGCAGCTCAGCCAGTGGCAGTGGCACAGCACACCCTTAGTTGCTATCAGGGAGCACGGATCAAGGGTACAGGCTCCAGACTCCGAGGCAGAGTGGGTGGGGGGTGACGCCCCCTTGCTGACCTGGCTGGGGCAATTGAGGGGCTGCACTTGGGCCCCTCCCTGGCAGTGTGGATTCTCTCAGTCGCCCCGGACGCCCTCACCGTTCACTGCATTCACATCATGAGAAACAGCCCAGCTATGGTCAACACACAAACTGAGAGCCCCCTAGGCCTGTCCGGCCTGCCTGTGGTCAGGGAATGGGCCTCGAACACACCGTACATGCCAGTACCCAGCACACCTGGACGTGAATTCGTCCCTGAAACACCAGCCAGGCCCGGGCACTTCCTCTGTGGGGCCAAGCTGGAAACTGCTGATGGAGAGGCGTCCAGAGAACTGACCCGAACGTCGGGGGTGCTGCTGTGGCCTGGGGTGCTGCCTCGTGGGTGTGAGGTCTTTGGTCTGGGCATGGCGCACCTCCTGGGTCTGGTTTACTCTGTTTCAGGCCCCGGTTTTCCCTGGGGATGGCCTACATTGGGTCCCGCAGGGATGTTCGGTGTGGCTGTGAGTCCCCGCCCCACTCCCAGGCCCACAGGGGACAGAGGGCCACCTCATGCTGACTCCGGAAGGGACTGGAACTGTGGGCATCACGAGTGCTGCTCCAGCATGAGCCTGCCTGGCGGGCGTCCTGGAGTTCACTGCCATGTCTCCTCCAGGCCCAGCTGCCCGAGTGCTGCGTGGATGTGGTGGGCGTCAACACCAGCTGTCCAGGCGCAAGCCTGTGTGGCCCAGGTAAGCCGATTTGTCCCTAGCAGATTCCAGACTGGCCCCTGAGCCACGGTCGTGTGTGTGCCCAGGTCCCTCCCCTAGGGACAAGGACAGTGCTCACAGGCGCTGCAGGGCCAGAGGGGTGGACAGGGTGGTGAGGGCTGTGGAGCTTGGGGAAGGACACCTGAGTCTCCCGGGCACACAGCCTGGAACAGCAGCCCTGAGAGGAGGCTGACCCTGCAGAGGGCGGGAGCAGAAGGCGAACGGAGCTCAGAAAGGTGCTGGGTGAAGGGTCTGGGGCAGCGGCCCGTGACATCAGCCATTCTCACTGGGAGTCCTGGCTCCAGGGGCCTCTGGCAAAGCCCAAGACAGTTTTGGCTGTCTCTGCTTGGGCGGAGGTGCTGCTGGCACCTGGTGGGTGGAGCCGGGGATGCCCATCAACAGGACGCCACCCCCAGAGGACACCGGGCCTGTGTCAGTGTGCTGCAGGCAGGCCCTATTCGTGGGAGGTTCTGGGAGGCTGTGGAAGGAGCTGACTGGTGGCAGCCAGTGAAGCAGCCAGGGGAGGGGAGGATGGAGTGAGAAGTGCGAGGGCCCCTCCTTGGCAGCTCCTGGTGGGGCTGTGGTGGACTTGGGGCTGAGATGCCCAGGCTGTTCTCTCCAAGGGCCTTGGCACCACCATCCTGAGGCCCAGCCCTCCTGGGATGGAAGAACCCAGAGGAGTGCTCCTAGGGACCCAGGGGCCTCGGAAGGAGAGCGTGGCCAAGATGGAGGGTGCAGTAGTCAGTGAGGCTGGGCCTGAGGGTCCGAGGCTGGGCGTGGGGGTCCGAGGGTGGGTGTGGGGGTCCGAGGCTTGGCGTGGGGGGTCCGAGGCTGGGCCTGAGGGTCCGAGGGTGGGTGTGGGCATCTGAGGCTTGGCGTGGGGGGTCCGAGGCTGGGCCTGAGGGTCCGAGGGTGGGTGTGGGGCTCCGGGGCTGGGCCTGAGGGTCCAGGGTGGGGTGTGGGCGTCCGAGGCTAGGCGTGGGGGCTGGGAAGGCCGCAGGAAGGCAGTGGTGACATCTGAGGTGTGAGCAGGGAGGAGGAAGCGGGCGCTGCTCTAAGGGAGAACAGAGGGGCTGGGAGGAACCTGAGCACCTCAGAGCCCCGCATCCTCTGGCGGGGAAGCTGTGGCGGCTAGAGTGCTGGGACCGTGCTGTCTCCTGGGGGGTTCTGTACCCCAGGCACTGCGTGCGTGCAGGCAGCTTTGCAGCAATCATGGTGCCCGTGGAGGGGCCAGGCCAGGGGTCGTGAGGTCCAAGGCCGAAGTGGCCCCACGCACGGGCACAGGGCGGGAGCCATCAGGTGCGTGTGGGGAGGGGCCGGGCCTGTGGCGTTGGACGCGCTTCTCCTGTGTGCGGCCCAGCCGGCGGCAGCTCTCAAAGAAGCTTGGTCTACTCTGCTGGGGGAGGCTTTGGGCACTTCTGGGGACGCGGCCACGCGGCCACGCTGCTGTCGGGCTCCCTGCCGTGGTCCCCATTCCCTGGCCTTCCGGGGCAGAGGCTCTCAAGTAGACAGAGGGAGCCTCCCTGAGGTCAGCACGAGCCTGTTCCAGGAGCCGTCCCCAGTGCAGGGAGAGCACGGGTCCCAGGCCCACTCTCCACTGCGGTCTCCGTGTGGCCGTGGCCTATTTGTGTTCGGCTTAAACACCAGCAGAATCCATGCTGAAGGGTGGAGGCATGTGGTCCACCCGTGGCCCTCCGGCAGCCACACCACAGTCAGTACCCAGCGTGTGTCCGCTCAGCTCAGGGCTGAATGTTAGAGATGTTTAGAAACTCAGGGGGTTAGGGTTAGGGGTGCCCTGGCTGGTGGGCAGGACGGGCTATCCGTGAAGCCCAGCAGGAGGGAGGGGTATGGCTTTGGGGGGCAGCATTGGACTGGGATAGAAATGAGGCCTGGTTCTCCAGGATCCCCCAAGAGAGACCTGGGGAGGGTACAAGCAGGTGGGGGGTAGCAGGTGGGCCAAGGGTCAGGGTCAGCTTGGGGTAGGAGGCCGTGCTGCTGGGGGGTGGGCCCGTCCCGCCTGGGCTGCCTGAGGGAACAGCACACGAGGCAGCAGCTCCAGCCACTGCAGGTGGGGGTCCTGGGGCAGGCTGTGGGGGGTCCTGGGGGAGGCCGTGGGGGTCCTGGAGGAGGTCATGGGGTGGGGGCTGTAGGTGGGGGTCCTGGGGAGGCCGTGGGGGGTCCTGGGGGAGGCTGTGGGGCCGGGACTGGGTGGTGGTGGAAGCTAGCCTCCGTCTTCCAGGCCTGCAGAGCACAGGCCCCCACACAGGCTCGGGAGGGTGCAGTGCAGTTTTGGGTCGGTGTCCCAGGGCCCTGCCAGGCTTGCCGGGGGTGTCCTTGTCTGCAGCCCGAGCCCGCCGCGCACCTCCAGAGCACGTCAGTGTTTCAGATGAAAGTTACAGAGTTATTCCCAGGAGAACGAGCCGCCGGGATTCTGCTTTGGCTGAGATCCTGGTCCTCTGCCCTGCGCAGGCTGCTACAGGCGCTGGAACGCGGACGGGAGCGCCAGCTGCGTCCGCTGCGGGAACGGAACCCTCCCGGCCTACAACGGCTCCGAGTGTCGAAGCCGTACGTCTGCCCGGCTGTTCCCGGGTCCCTTCTCGCAGCAGGGCCGCAGCTCCAGCTTGGGGAGAAACCCGGGGAGGTGCTGTCCCTGTCCCCACCTTGCCTCAGAGCCGCTGTGCGCTGGGGGAACAGCCCCGGGCGCCCCGCCTTCCCGCGCCCTGTGGCCCATCCCGGACAGCCCCTCGCTTTCACCTTTCTGGCCTGAGATTCACTTCAGGGTGTGCATGGGGGTCCCCTGTGGGCTCCGTGCACGCAGTCTTCCCACAACCCTGCTCTCCCATAGCCGCTGGCCGGGCTGCACCGTTCCCCATGAACAGAAGCTCAGGGCCCCCCGGGCGGCCACATCCCGGTAAGTCTCTGCGGGGGTCCTGGAGGCTGGGGGCTGTCGGAGCCACCGCCAGTACAGACCCTGACTGCTGACGTGGCCACCGCGGGGTCGGCCTGCGCTGCCTAACCGGACCAGAGGGGTCTGACAGCCCCGAGGCTGGGGTCGGCTGGCGTGGGGGTGTGTTGGGGATGTCACACGTGGAGCATGCTGTCCACGTCTGTAAAGGGCCGTAGTTAGGGGAGGCTCTCGGTTCACACGGCTCACGGCCACACCGCACGCTCTCAGGTTCACACTCGGCTTGGTCCTGCCTCTGCCTCACCCAAGATCACTCCGGCCTGCGGCCACAGTCGCAGAAACCAGGAGGAGCAGGTGCTCTGAGGTCTCTGCTAACCACGCCTAGCGCCTCTTCCTGAGGTGTGGGTGTGGCTGGGCCACGGGTCGTGGTACCCACCCAGGCAGTTGCAGACCCTCATCCTTCAGCAGAAGACATGCCTGACCTGGGGCCGGGGCAGAGGGCTGTGTCCTGAGAGAGAAAACCCTCACGTCTTTAGAACGTGGACTCGGGCCTGGAGCAGGCCTGGGCCCATTGCTGACCTGCATGGCAGTGTTTTTGGGTAGGGTTGGCCTAGATGGGCTCTTGGCCTCTGTGGCTCCCTGCCAGGGCGGGAAGAAACAAGGCCCCCAAGCCTGGCAAACATGCCTGTGTCTCAGGTTGGGAAGTCCCCTCCCCAGCACCTCACCGCACACCCAGCAGCCATCACCAACTGTCCCGAGCCCTGGGCCAGCAGCCCCACCTGCCCTGGCCCAGGCAAGTGGCAACAAGTGGGCAGCAGGGGCACCTGCTGCCAGCTCAAGGCTCTGCACCATGCAGGGGCCCAGGGCTGTGCTGAGCCCCAAGGAAGGAACAAGCCTGGGAACCCCAGCTTTCGGGGCAACTAGAATCGGAGAGGTGTTTCCACAGAGCCTGGCCGGGGCCGGCCCCTGTAACACGCCCAATGTCCAAACTCCTGCAAGAAGCTGAGGCCAGGGAGGTCATAACTTTCCCAGACCCCATGGCCAGATGTCCAGGCGTGGCAGAGCCTTCAGGGACCACCCAAGTCTGCGTGCGGGGCCCTCAGCCCCCAAAGCCGGTCCCATGAGGCTCGGGCGTGTTCGGGGAGCAGGAGCCTACCAGCCTACCCCCCAAAGCCGGTCCCATGAGGCTCGGGCGTGTTCGGGGAGCAGGAGCCTACCAGCCTACCGTGTGCTGGGGCTGTGGGGGCCAGTGAGGGCCGGGGCGGCGTCCTGCTCAGCCACGTGTGTTTGCAGGGGCTCCCCGCGTGGCTGCCTCCCTCTTCCTGGGAACCTTCTTCATCAGCTCTGGCCTCATCCTCTCCGTAGCTGGGTTCTTCTACCTCAAGCGCTCCAGTAAACTCCCCAGGGTCTTCTACCGAAGAAACAAAGGTATCTCACGGAGCGGCACATGTCCCACGTCTCACGTCCCACGGGAGGGTGCAGGGTGGGCAGGGCCGGCCGTGGGGATGGGTCTGGGTCTGAGAGAGGCCGGGAGGGCGCAGGGCCTGTCACAGGGCTTTTGGGTCCCATTGTGAGAACAGCAGTCACTTCCCAGAAACACCCTTGTGTGGATTTGAGGGGTCCCTCCATGACGGCGTGGACTCTGCACAGAGCACTAGGGGCCTTCCTCAGGGCTCGGAGCCTCCGCTGGAGCCCTCTTCCGGCACCGCGAGGGAAGGGGAGCAGGGCCCGGTGGCTCTCGGCAGCTTGGACGTGTGGGCTCCTCTGGCAGCCACGACCCCTCCCTCCCCTCTCCTGGAGCCAGGGCTGGTCAGGCTGGTGCAGGGCCCACACCCCAGTCTATGCCACGCCTACCAGGGTCACCCCTGGCCTGGACACGACCCCTCCCACCAGAGAAGCAGGATTGTGACTGCGGCGCCCTCAGGCGGGGGCGGGCTCTGAGCAGGGTCCCTGGCACCTGCCCTCATTGTCCCTGCCAGGGAGGGTCCAGTCGGCAGGTCGGACCCCGAGGTCAGCACGTAGCCATACTGTCATGGCTGGAGCTGTGGCCTCCTCCAGGCTCCTAGGCTGCCCCACTGGCTACCGTGAGACCCCTGGCCACCCCCTCAGCCAGCGCTGATTGCCTCCGTGGGCTGTTGTGTCTCCTGGGTCCTGGGAGTTGGAGGCTGGGGCCTCTGCCACTCTTGGGTTCCCAGGGCCCAGCCTCCAGTCAGAGGCTGGCCGTAGCCATGCACCAAGAGGCCCCCCAACGTCCTGGCCTGCTCAGTATCTCTGCCTATGGGCACCCTGGAGCAGGGGCGGCTCAGGGCTTGGAGCGCCCTGGTGGCCACAGGACAATGAGAAGCCAGGTTGGCTGTGATGCCAGGGCCCCCTGACCACAGAGGCAAACGCCCATGCCCTGGGGCTGAAAGCCACCTCGTGCCTGAGGCTCCTCCTGGGACGGTGGGAGGGAGCACTTCCCCTGGGGCCTGGAGTCTAGAGAAACACTTCTCATGAGAGTGGCTTGTCCCCTTCGCTGAGGCGGGAAGGTGGGTCCAGGGAGGGGAGTCTCACCTGGGGCGCTAGGGAGGCCCCTCACCCCTGAGTGCCCTGGAAGAATGTGGCAGGGTGGTCAGCCAGGCTGACGGCGCAGCAGGGAGCGGGGGTGGGACCCGCCTGACCCTGAGAGCCTCTGCTTCCCCTGGACGTGAGACCAGGCTGAGGCAGCCCCTGGGCTCCAGGTGACCCCCGCTTTCTCCCCCACAGTCCCGGCCCTGCAGCCTGGCGAAGCCGTAAGTAACCTGTGCCGCCCGGCTGAGCATCCCCGGCTGCGGGTGCCTGTGCCGGCCGCGTCCTCACTCTGCCTTTCTCTCCTTTTCAAGGCTGCAATGATCCCCCCGCCACCGCCCTCAGGTAACGCAGCAACACGTGCGCTGTGGGGCTTCCCGTCCCTGGGCCAGAACCCGGATGCTCTGAGGGTCTGTCCCCAAACACGCCGGCTCTGGACCTCAGCCGCCCCTGCCCAGGTCCCCAGGAGACCCACCCACGAGGCAGGGCCAGGGCCGGATTTGGCCGGCACCCCCTGCCCGCCTGTGGGAAGAAGGGTGCCCAGGCGCCAGGCAGGAGACTGAAGGCACAGTCTGTCCCGGCATAATAAATAACAGTACTTAGCGCAGTGACACCTAATAGATACTGGGTTCAGTCCCATAATCAATTACATGATCCTACAACATCACTATTCTCTGTTAATCCGCTTTAGTGTGGGAACTTTAGTTTTACGGTGTAGACCTATTCGTAACTAAGTGATCACTTACCTGTTACGCCAGGACAGACTGTGCCTTCTTTCTTCCCACACCCACCCCCCTTGAACCCCTGTGACTTCCATGCCCTTCCCTGTTCTGAGACGTGGGGTCTGCAGGAAAGGAGGACCCACCACAGGCAGACCCCCAATGCCTGCCCCTCCTCCAAGTCACAGCTCCCCCCGAGGACAGGTGCAGCCGGCCTCTGCCAGGCCCTCCTGAGCCACTGAGAGCAGCCACCCTTCAGCGACACTGGGTCAGGCGCACCCAGGGGTCAGCCCGGTTAAGACCCATTTTATAGGCGAGGCCACAGGCACAGAGGCTGAGTGACCGCAGCCCCACAGCTCCAAGACTGACAGGGCTTACCCGGCTCCGTCCCCGTGTGCAGAGGCCTCTCGGGGGCAGGTGACAGTGTCCTTAGGGGACAGACAGTTCCTTGATCAAGGTTGGACCTGCCCCGTCCCTCAAGCAGCCCCATCGGCAAATGTCCAGCCGGCCTCACGGTGCCTGAGCATCCTGCGGCTGCAGCTTCAACAGACCTTCAACCTGATGGTGGCAGAGTTCAGAATGCCAGAGCCACTGGCCGGCCGGCCACACCCCTCCGGGGGCTCCCGGGGAGGACCCTGCTGCCTCCCCAGCGCTGCCGGCTCAGGCGTCTGTGGGTATGACCTGGTCGCCCGTCTTTGCCCCGTGGTCCCACGGCGTCTCCTCTCCTCTCTGCCTCCCTCTCCGGAGGGCGCTGGCCGTGCATTTAGGGCCTGCCCCACAACCCTGGGCGATCGCACCTGAGGTCCTGATGTGACCTTCGCCTGCAAAGACCCTGCTCATAAGGCCACATTCGAGGTTTCGGGGCCTGGTTGTCTTTTGGGGGCACCCCCAGCCCCTGAAGTGTGTGATGGTGTGGGGCCCACACCTCTGCCTTCAGGGGTAGGCCGACCCTCATCCAGGCCCCGGTGCCCAGGTGCAAATTAGAGGATGCAGCCAGGCAGGAGCTCTGAGGGTACCTTAGGGCAGGGACATTGGGGTTCCCGCCTGGTTAGAGCCACTCCTGAGAGCCTCCGGTGAGGGCTGAGGCCTGCACTGTCCCCGCTGTCCAGGTCCCTCTGACCCCGCCTGTCTCTGACCCCGTTTCAGTACGGAAGCCGCGCTACGTCAGGCGGGAGCGGCCCCTGGACAGGGCCACGGACCCCGCTGCCTTCTCGGTGGAGGCCCGTATCAGCAACGTCTGACCAGGAGCCCGCGACCACGCCGTGCGCTTGGCGGCAGGAGCCCGGCACCAGGAGAGGCCGGCACAGCCCTGGCTCTGAACCCTCGTCTCCCAGCGACAGACGCCGAGGCCTCCTTCCCACCACAGCTGCCTGCATCCATGAGACCTCAGAGCTTGAGATCGAGGCCTTGAGGGGTGCAGGTCCCCCCAGGAGAAGCAGTGAGGCCCTGGCGCCTGCAGCCAAGATGCAGGCCTGGCTCAGGCAGCCAAAGCTGGGGTGGCCCAGGGGGCAGCTGCCGCTCTGCCTGAGAGCCAGGGGCTCTGCTGGCTCTGCTGCTGTGCCCTCCAGAGCCCACGAGGGGCAGGACTCCAGCACCACTGCAGCCGGTGGCCCAAGACCCCTCTGAGGCAGCGAGGTTGGTCCTCGGGCCGTTCCAGCCCTGGCCCAGCCAGTGGGGAGGACGCAGCCTGGGAACCAGCTGCTTGAGACCAGGGTGCCTTTGGGTGCCCTCCTGCGTGGCGAAGTCCCCAGGCACACAGTCACCCATTTCCGAGTTAAGCAGAAATTCATGGTGCAGAAAAGTCCTCCAGAGCTTGGTGACCCCGCTCAGACCCCTGGGCCTGGCTGATCCCTGCCCACACAGGGCAGGCTCTGGCCGGTGGCAGCAGCTACTGAAGCCCAGTGGTGCATCCAACCCCAGGGGCCCCCGCAGGTCACTGCCTCGTGGACCTGCCAAGGCTGCCCTGGCGCTGCTGGTGAACCCCTGGCCCCCCAGGCTCCGGCACTGAGTCCCGGGGTCCCTCCCCAGCCTCTGATATGCTGAGTCCCGGGGTCCCTCCCCAGGCTCTGGCACTGAGTCCTGGGGTCCCTCCCCAGGTTCTGGCACTGAGTCCCGGGGTCCTCCCAGGCCCTGGCGCTGCCCCTTTGCTTCTCGGGCTGTGCTGGTGGCAGGTGACCCCGGGGTTCCTGGGAGAGAGGCGCTCAACAGGCTCGGGCTTGGTCCTGGGTCTCGGATGCCCTGCAGTGACCAGCACATCTGCTTTAGCGTCGGGTCCTCCTCTGAGGGGCGGCCTGGCCGCCAGGGCCCCAGGCTTTTCCTGCGAAGTGCACTGTGGGTGCCGTCATGGTCCCTGGGACCTCGCCAGCAGGAACGTGGGGGCACGGGGTGCTGATATAAAGTCAGCCTTACGCAAGCTGTTTTCTGAGCCGCTCTCTCATTCAGCCTCACCCCAAGGATCCTCTGTTCTCTAAGGGCAGGGGGAGGAACAAAGCCCCCACCAGGCTGGCCCCACACACTCCGCCACCATGTGCTGGGGACAAGGAGGGGGGTGAAGGGGAGTCCAGAGCCCCCACCTGCTGCCTGGTTGGGGCCCTGAGAGCCACAAGCACAGAGTGACCCCCCCCACCCCTGCACAATTCTCCCCCACAGATCCATTACCCAATTGCAGCCTGTGCAGTGGGACCTGTGGCCCCCGACCCCCCAGCTCGGCCCTGAGGCTAGGGAGAGCATGGGTGAGCGTGGATGTGCCGGCCGGGGCTCCAGGACTGCAGTTGGGGCCATTTGGGGAGTGGGGGCCCCGGCCACCCCGAGCCCAGCACAGCAGTCGCTCCTCAGCTCTTTGAGGGGCTGCCGTGTGGGAACGTTTGCTGACAGTGATGGGCCGCGCCAGAGAGGGCCGAGCTGGGGCAGGACAGGCCGGCGAGGCGCAGAGGGCCTGGCACTAGGATGTCAGAGCGCCGTGCCTGCCCCCGTCACTGCGGCAGGAACGTGACTGCTGCAGAGCCATGTCCTTAGACACCTGTGTCCCTGTCCCCATCCCTGAGGACACCTGGCCCAAGGTCTGCAGCCAGGTGGCACCGGGGAACATCCACTTTGCCCTGGGCCCGGGTGGGTCACCTGGTCCTGGGGAGAAAGGGGGACCGGCCAGCACAAGGCCACTGAGCCCAGCACTGACGGACCCACCTGAGGCCCTGGGCCACGCGCCTGAGATTCAGGGACCCCCAGACTTCCTCACGTGGGGAAGGAGACGGACCCAGATGGGGCGGAGGGAGGGTCCATGTGACCCCAGAAACTGCACTCCTGCATTTGCACCAGGCCAGGTGTGTGGTTTGGAGGATCAAATCAGAAACAGCACGGTCAGCAGGTCCAGCAGGCAGGCTCTGGAGGCCGGGCCGGGCAGACGGGCACTGTCCCAGCCCACTCTCCAGGCAGCCCCCTGCGAGCCCTGCCTCCCTCTGTTCTGAGTCCCCTCCCTCTCCTCTCACCCAGTGGCCCAAACCAGAAACCCAGGGTCATGCCGCCACCTCCACACACCACACGCCCTCCTCGCCGGGCACAGGAAGGCACACTGGCTGGGCCTCCCGCCAGAGTGGACACTGAGCCTGGCTGCGGGTCGGTGCCACACTGGAGATGAGTGACTCATTGGTAACACTAGGCCCGAGTCATTCCCAGAGCCCACCTGTCCCATCCCTGCTCCCCAGACTGGCCTCCCCTTAGCACACCTGGTCCTCAGGAAAGAAGTCCAGCCCTGGAGCCAACAGAGCAGCTGCACTTGAGCCAAGGGCCCAGCGTGGGGGGGTGGGCGGGGCAGGGCCGGGGGCCCCAGAGCAGCCCCGGCCTGGAAGGCCCCTCCCCCCCACCAGCCACCCCGTGTTCCCAGGCCTGGCAGCACCGGGTCTGACCCATAACCCAGGGGCCTGGTGGGGTGTAGAGGGGAAGGAGTCCCTGAGAGCGCGTGAGGAGACCAGAAGTGAAGGCGGTGGGGGGTCAGGCGCACACACCAGCATCCACACGCATCACGCACACGCGTGCTCACACACCCACCTGCTCAGCCTCCTGCTCACTAGCCAGGACAGAAGGGGCCAGGCAGGTCCACGCTCTGCCCCAGACACAGCTGGCCAAGCTGCTCCACGGTCCCCGAGAGCCCAGCGCCCTGGCCCCTGCCTGGTCTGGACTGGGAGGAGGGACGCCTGGCCTGGCCCCGAGACAGCACGTTCCTCAGGCCTTCCCTCACCTTCGCCTCCGGCACAAGTGTCAGCTGGGAGCCCAGAGTGACCTCAGTGCCCAGATATTCCCAGGAGCTGTTGGGAGGATGTTCCCAGAGCAGCAGGGACCTGGGCCCTTCCTGGAGGCAGCACGTGACCCCGAGTCACGACTTCAGGAAGCAGGAGGCTCCAGCAAGCAAATTCCAGGCTGGGTCTCACCATGGCTCCCGCACAGAGCTCCCATCCCCCCCCCACCCCTCCCTCTCTGGACCTCCATGCGTTCCTGAGACACCCTATCTTCCACCCCAGCCCTCACCCCCCTCTCTGAGCATCTGCCCCCACACCCTGCCCCTACTCTCCCTGGTCTGAGCACCCAATCCCCTCACGAGCTCCCGCACCCCTGCTGAGCCCCCACCCTCTCCCATGCTGGACCCCCATCCCCTGCTGAGGCCCCTCAGCCCCCACGGAGAGTCCCTCCTGGAACTGGCAGGGGCCCGCCCTCCTCCACAGGGCCTTCCCCGGCCCCTTCTGCAGTCACGGTTCCCACTTCCCAGTGTCCCTTGGGCTCCAAGATGCCTGGGGTAGCACTGGAGGAGCCTCTGGGTCCCCACTGAGGGGTCAGGGGCACCTGTAGGGGAAGTTGCCTGAGGCCTGGGGGTGCAGCCTGTGGGGTATCACCACCAGCTCTCCCACCAGGGTGGGCCCTCACGGTGGGGATGGGGCCGTGGCACCGGGTCTGACCTGCCCTTGCATGGGGTCCACTGGGCCTGCTGGGAGACAGCTCGCTGGACAGCCTGAGGGTGCAGCTCGGTCTACACCAGGCCCTCAAGCACATGGCAGAGTGTGCACTGCGGGTGCAGTCCAGGCCACTGGCTGCTCCTCTAGGCGCCCCCACACCGTCCATCCCAGCCCTGCTGGCCTCGGCCCCCAGACTCTCACCAGCTCCAGCCCTGGTCTTTGCACAAACCAGTCCTGTAGTGTGCTCTGGCGTGTGGATATTAGGGCACATGTGAGAGAGTGTGTGGCACTGAGAGGCATGTGTGAGGGCAGGTGACACGGGGGGTGAGCGTGTGATGGGTGTGTGTGACATGGGTGTGTGAGCGTGTGACGGGTGTGTGACACGGGCGTGTGACACGCACGACATGGGTGTGCGCGTGACAGGTGTGACACGGGTGTGTGAGCGTGACAGGTGTGTGACACGGGTGTGAGCGTGTGACGGGTGTGTGATGGGCGTGTGACATGCACATGGGTGTGTGCGTGACGGGTGTGTGACACGGGTGTGTGAGCGTGTGACGGGTGACACGGGCATGTGACACGCACATGGGTGTGTGCGTGACAGGTGTGTGACACGGGTGTATGAGCGTGTGACGGGTGTGTGACACGGGCGTGACACGCACATGGGTGTGTGCGTGACGTGTGTGACACGGGTGTGTGAACGTGTGACAGGTGTGCGTGTGACGGGTGTGTGTGTGACAGGTGTGAGAGTGACACGGGCATGTGACACGCACGACATGGGTGTGTGGCAGGTGTGACACGGGTGTGAGCGTGTGACGGGTGTGAGTGACACGGGCGTGTGACACGCACGACATGGGTGTGTGCGTGACGGGTGTGTGACACGGGTATGTAAGCGTGTGACGGGTGTGTGACACGGGCATGTGACATGCACGACATGGGTGTGTGCGTGACAGGTGTGTGACGGATGTGTGAGCGTGTGACAGGTGTGTGTGACACGGGTGTGACACGCACGACATGGGTGTGTGTGACAGGTGTGTGACGGATGTGTGAGCGTGTGACAGGTGTGAGTGTGACACGGGCGTGACACGCACGACATGAGTGTGTGCGTGACGGGTGTGTGACACGGGTGTGTGAGCGTGTGACAGGTGCACATGCGTGTCAGCGTGTGGCACTGAGGGGCGTGTGAGTGGACTCAGCCTGTGTGAGCGTTGGACATGGCTGTGTGTGACGGTGTGGCACTGAGGGGTGTGTGGACACGGGGCACATGTGAGTGTGGACATGGCCATGTTGAAAGCAGGCATGTGTGTGTGTGGATGAGGCAGGTCAGCGCACGGGTGGGTGTGGGCAGCGAAGTGGCAGGAATGGCTGGGTGCAGACTGCAGTGACCCCAGGCCGGGCTGAGGTTGTGGGGACTCGGGGAAGGTCTCTGCTGGGAGGTCCACCCAAGAACTCAGGGCCCCGGGGACCTGAACCTGGGGGCGAGCAGCTTCCAGAGGTTGCTCCGGGCTCCTGGGGCCGGAGGGGGAGAGGGCTTAGTCCACACCCCAGCCCAGACCTGCCCAGGCTGTGCCGACCCCACCAGGCTCCGACCCTCGCTCCTCACTCACTACCCTCCAGCCACCTCTGCCTGGCCCACCAAGGTGGGGACGAAGCCAGCCAATCCCTGCGGCCACACCCTCGGCTGGCACAACCCACAGAGTATAAATGGACGTGCCTGGGAGCCCACACCCGGCAACTCACACCTGCCTCCGACCAGAGCTCTGCCCTGCGCATTCCCTGTGCCCCGCCTGTCTGGGACGGAGCAGAAGCCACACCTGCCAGACCAGTGCCACCAGCACAGCCACTGGCAGCCGGCCTGGGAGAGTTACCTGCCAGGTGGAGCACAGGCCAGCGGAGGAGAGGAAGCAGACGCTGGGGCAGGACAGCCCCAGGCCCTGGAGCCCCACTGTGGCCGGCGAGGACAACCATGCCCAGGACCCCCTGACCGCCAGTGCCAGGTAAGGCCAGCTCAGCCCACGCTCACCCCTCACCCACACAGGCTCAAGGTGGGGCCCCATCATGGAGGGGTGGGGCCTGGGGCCAAGGAACTGGTTCTGTGGGGTGCTCAGGCCACAGAGGACACTCCCCAGGCCCCGGTGCCCGGGGCACTCACGACCTCACAGTGACGGTGCATGACTCAGGTGGTCACGGTGGCCTGTGTCATCCCACCAGCCTGCCTGGGACTCACTGGCAAGTCAGGGGTGGGGCAGGGCTGTGCCAGGAGGCACGTCACAGGGACGCACAGTCAGCCCCTCAAGGCTCACTGTTACCCCTTGACCCTTCCCTCAGGTGGGACACCTGTGGCCTGAGCCACCAGGGCCAGACAGTCCTGTGGCTCCTTGCAGGGGAGCCAGAGTGTGGGGGAGGGTGGCAGGGCAGGAGGCAGGGCAGGGCCGCAGGTCAGCTGAGATGCCCACCTGAGCCAGGTCAGGGGCAGAGTGGCATCCCCACGGCCCTGCCATGAGGTGGGAGTGGGTCAGGGAGAAGAAACACACCCTGCTTCCCCCTGGGTGGGTGGTGGAGGGTGTCCTGAGCGTCAGACGGGGGCTGGCCCAGAGGGAATGGCTGTGCTGGTCCAAGTCCCCACTCCCCGTGCCCAGACCCTCAGCAGCCAGACAGGCCGGCCCTGAAGGCCCCAGGCTGTGGCTGGCACGCACCTTCCTCAGGCACTGACCTGTGCCTGGGCCCTCCCTGTCTTCCCGAAGCCCCTGGGGCTCAGCTCGGCCCCCAGACCCAGAGACCCCCACATGCCACCCTCACACAGCTGCCTGCAAATCGGGCCTGCAACACCCAAGCCAGGGACCCATCCTGGGATCCGAGTTCAAACTCACTTCACCTAACTTGGAGTCCCCGGCCTGCCTGAGAGCCACATCTGCTGGGGCCCAGGGGCTGCTGACTCCCTTGGGGTGGCCCTGGCTGAGTCTCCCATGCTCTGGGCAGCCTTTTCCACATTGTGGTGTGTGTGAGTCCTGTGACGTGGGCCCTGTGGCGTGTGTGAGTCCCGTGATGTGGGCCCTGTGGTGTGAGTCCCGTGACATGGACCCTCCCGTGACGTGGACCCTGTGGCATCTGTGAGTCCCATGATGTGGGCCCTGTGGTGTGTGTGAGTCCTGTGATGTGGGTCCTGTGGTGTGAGTCCCGTGACGTGGGCCCTGTGGCGTCTGTGCGTCCCGTGACGTGGACCCCGTGGCATCTGTGAGTCCCGTGATGTGGACCCCGTGGCGTCTGTGAGTCCTGTGACGTGGGCCCTGTGGCGTGTTTGTCCCATGACGTGGGCCCTGTAGAGTGAGTCCCGTAACGTGGACCCTGTGTCGTCTGAGTCCTGCGACGTGGACCCTGTGGCGTCTGTGAGTCCCGTGACATGGGCCCTGTGGCATCTGTGAGTCCCATGACATGGGCCCGGCCTTGCATAAACAGTGGCAACTGTGGCCCGTCATCCTTACCATGATTTCCGTCCAGGCAGCAGGGCCAGGCGGGGCAAGGCCAGCAGGAAGCGCCTGCCGAGTGGTCAGTGAGACCCCCGTGCACGTGGCCGGCGTTCCCAGGGTAGGCTCACCACTGTAGCAGCCGTGTGATGACAGGTGGCGAGGGCTGGATCATGCTTGGGGCACAATGACCTCCCGGAGCACCGGAGGAACTTTTTCTAGGAGTGCACGGGGAACAGAGCCCTTCCCCGGGATCTCTGGGGCTGGTGCTGGGCAAAAGAGAAGGAGAGGGGGAGACAGAAGACCACCAGAAGGGGTGGCCTGTGGTTGCTCACCACAATCTCTGTCCCACAGCTCAGAGACGTGTCCTCAGGCCAGCAAGTGTGGCACACGGCTGTGCCACCCCCTTGCCGGAGCAGCTCCACAGCCTCCATGCCCCGGTCCCCCAGCTCGGCCGGCAGCCCCCGGTCCCCTGGCACCCCCGGCTCGGAGAAAGTGGCCTCCCCCCTGGAGTGCTCCATCTGCTTCTCCGGCTATGACAACATCTTCAAGACACCCAAGGAGCTCTCCTGCACCCACGTCTTCTGCCTGGAGTGCCTGGCCCGGCTGGTGGCTGCTCAGCCCGAAGGCAGCCCCGGTAGTGAGGCTGTGCCATGCCCCTTCTGCAGGCAGCCCACGGCCGTGCCGCCCGCCGGAGCCCCCGCTCTGCGCACCAGCCGCCAGCTGCAGGCCCGGATGCCAGCGCATCTGCGGCGCGAGGAGCCCGTGTGGCTGGAGGGCACCAAGCTGTGCTGCCAGCCGCCACCTGCCACGCCTGGCCGCAAGCCTGGCTTTGTATGTGTGGACGTGGGCCTGAGCAAGCCCGCCCAGCCCCCTGAACCCCTGCCCGTCCAGGACCCCGCCCCCCGCCGGGGCCGCCTGGCCCACTGCTGGGCGCGCTGCAGGGACTGGAAGCGCATGGCGCTGGTCTCCGCCCTGCTGCTGGTGCTCTTCTGTGTGGCGCTCTGGCCGGTGCAGTGCGCCCTCAAGACGGGGAACCTGCGCTGCCTGCCCCCGACCTCCCAACCCCCCACCACCACGGCCGCCTTCCCCCTCGGGCTTCTGACTGGCAACTAGGGTCACCAGCCTTGTCCAGGTCGGCCATGAGTGGCTCCCCAACTGGGGTCTCAAGGGCGCAGCAGCCACTGGAAGCCGGTCCCTAAGGACCCGAAAGCAGCCCAGCATGTCTGAGGATTCCACTTGGGCCCCGCCAAGTCCAGGCTCCATTTAGCTTGTTCACCCCTCACTCTCCAGGCTGGGCCCTAATGGGGTGGACGTGAGAGGGTCTCCAAAGCCTCCCAGAACCACAGGCTCCCACAAGCCGCAGAGACCACCTGCAGCTCCTGTTATGCAGATGGGGAAGGGCCCAGGAGGGAAGCCGGTCAGCACGCCGCGGTCCATGCACACAGAATCGCCCGCCAGGGAAGGGAGGGAGGGGCCTGCCAGGACCCAGCTCACACTCACGTTTCACCCCCAGGCCCTGCCCAGGCCTTCTTCAGGCGGGGCTGGTCCCTGCCGTTGGGTGGGGGTGCTAGTCTTGCCCTCTGACTGAGGGGACAGAGTGGGGGCAGGGCAGCCCCCAGTGCAAGATAACCATGGAAACTTCCAGCTGCCCTCCAACCCTTGTGAATTGTAGATTTTTAAATAAATTATTTGTATCCATCTTCTTTAAGAGGGCCTCACTCTGTGTGCCCCTGCCCCAGCCTCGACCGAGATTAGACCCCAGCGGGATCAGGCTCCCAGCAGCCACTGGGACAGGGGGGCCCAAGGTTCCAGGGGATCCAGCTCCCAGCCCCTCTGGCTGTGGACAGGCAGTGGGTTTCTGGAGTTGGCTAGCGCCTCAGCAGTGTGAGGCTCCCCATGGAGATGGGGAGAGCCCGGGACACCTGAGGCAGGCCAGGCAGGACCAGAGGGAGGGCTTCAGCTGGCCCAGAGCCCAGTGGCTGACAAAGGGAGCCTTTCTCTTCCCCCATCCCCCACCATGGCCACACTAGACTGCACCTCCAGGAAGTCATGCCCCATGGCCCTGCCAGGGTCCTGACTAGAGAACCCCAGAACCTGTGACCCCTGTGGGAACCCAGGCATAAGGGTCCCCAGAAGCAGAGGTAGGAACAGCCAGCGTCCAGCCTCCAGATCCGCAGACCTGCGGCCCCCACAGACCCTCTGGCCCTCCCAGGGCCAGCCTTGCTAGACAAGAGGCAGAATGTGGCTTCACGAGGGCTGGGCAGGAGGCTTGCCAACCCCAGCCCTACCTCGTCTGCCATAAGCCCCGGGAATCCTGCACCACCAGGCCGGCACAGCCAGGCCAGTTCCAGCTCAAGCAGGTCTCACACCCCTGACCCCAGAGCCCAGGGACTTCCTGCTCCAACCAGCTGGGCCTCTGGCCGGGGTGGGGAGGGGCTCGGGAAGGCCCCACAGAAGCCGAGTCCAGCTCTAGGGGCCCACAGACACCCTTGCCCCAGGCCCCCATGAAGACACAGAACAGAGAACACAGCACTTTACTGGAAGGCTGCAAAGCCACAGGCCATCCGTGATGTGGGGAGTGCAAGCACGGGCCGCGGCAGTGACGTCACTCTGTGACACACAGGCAGGCACACACAGACCCACACCCTTGTCACCGGCAGGGCCAGACGCATGACGCTGCACAGGTGGTCACAGGAGCACCTCACGCACACCTCACTCCACAAACATCCACCCTGTGACTGATGAGGCTGAGTCTCCCTGGGGCCACGTCCCAGACCACGGGAGCAGGCAGGGCCCGCAGACCGGTGTCCTGGCCGCTCAGACCCGCACTGAGAGGCTGAGCTAGCGGTGCACACGAGTTCACACACGGTCACGCGTGGGCTTCGCAGCCGCCACTCCCTCTGCCGCCCCTGGGCCTCCATGAGCTGGGGACGTGCTGTGGCTCTGTCCTGGACACAGTCCCGACCCGCAGCTCCCGCCCCACGCGGGCACGGCCAGGCCGGGCGTTCCCTGTGGCTCCTCAAGCACCCGCCGCTCCGCAGGTTCGCATCCTCGCGGTCCCAGGGCTCCGGCGTCCTGCGCGCGGAGCAGCGGCTCAGCCCTGCGCCGCGCACACCCCTAGTCCCTCCCGGAGGACCCGGCCCCTTCCCGGCGACCCATTCATACCGCGGGCGCCCGCGGAGACGTTGGCCGGGGGCTGCAACCCTATTCGCGGGGGGCGGCGCCCACGTTTTGGTTCTCGCGCTCCCGGACCGCTCGGGCGGGGGTGAGGGGCCGCCGGTCACCATGGCGACGCCAGCGCAGGCCCCGCCCCGCGCACGCCCCGCCCCCACCTGCTCGCGCAGGCGCAGTTGCTCGCACTGGATGTACCGCTGCAGCGCCGAGTACACGAACTTGTACTGCGCCTCTGTCTGCACCATCCCGGAGCGCAGCCGCCGAACCAGCTGCATCGTCTTCGGGACGTCGAAGTCGCAGTCCAGCCTTGGGGACACGCGCGCTCAGGGCGGGGCTATGGCTGTGGGGCGGGGCCTGCATGCAGGGGCGGGGCTGCGGCTGAGGGGCGGGGCCGGCGGGCAGGGGCGGGGCTACGGCTGAGGGGCGGGGCCGGCGGGCAGGGGTGGGGTCGTCCTGAAGGGTGGGGTTACAGCGGGGCCGGGAAGGGGCGGCTCACCCTCCCTGCGGGTGACATCCACCAGGATGCCAATCACGGTGATGGTGCCGGTGCGTCCGGGGCCGCGCTGAGGACAAACCAGGCGGCCTTTGATGAGAGTGGGGGGCGGGGCCGCCCCACCCACACGATGGCTCCGCCTGCAACGTCCCGCGTGGCCCCACCGGCCCCGCACCTGCACGGCCCGCGTGGCCCCGCCCTGCCGCACCTGCAGTGCACCAGCACGGTCCGGGCCCCCGGCTCGCTGCTCTGGGCCCGGTTCCCCTCGCCCGGGAAGCCAAGGACGCCGTGGTCCGGCCAGCTGAAGTACTAAGGTGCTGCACGGTGCGCGGTGGCTCCTCCTGGGCGGGGCAGACGGTCAGTGAGACCCCCGGGAGGGAGGGGTTGGGGGGGAGAGGCTGAGGCACAGCAGGGTTTATCTGGAGCGCCCAGGTGGAGGGGCTGCAGGGGCCCGGGCGAGCAGGAGGAGGGAGGAAATGGCTCAGGTACCTGGAGAAGGGAAGAGGAAGCTGGAGGGGGGAAAGCAGGCTGTGGGGACAGTGATTCTATAAGGAAGAACCAAATGTGAGGTCTCTATGGGGACCCGCAGGACCCCCCCCCCCAACCGGGCGGGGGCTGCGGGGAGAAGCAGGTAATCTACCCGGGACAGAAATGGGCGCCGCTGGTATACAACAGAGGCCAAAGCTGCAGTTTGAAGAGGTGTATGTGAGGAGCGGCCGCTCGCCCACAACTGAGAATGTGGCCACCTGAGTGGCCCGAGCCCAGGCCTGGGTGAGCCTTCTGGGTTGAAGGGTGTGGAGGCCCCCGAAGGAAGTGGGGTTAGATGCAGCCAGGTGTTGGGGTCTCCCAGTGCAGGCCCACAGCGGGCACGCTCCACGGCTGCCGGGCTCACCAGGCTCTGGCCGCCACACCTGCAGCTCCCACACACAGTCGCCCTTGGCCTGGCAGCTCCCAGGTTACGCACACGCACCGGCCGGACTCCTGGCTGCCGTGCAGCTCGGGCCCGTACCGGAAACACCTGTTCTGGGGAGAACGCTTGCATCCGCCTTCCCGGCAGCCCCCGGCACCTCCCTGGCCCCGTGCCCTGCAGAGACACAGGCATGTGCGTGCAGCCACGGGACTCTCTGGGACCCTCCCCAGTCCCACGGCTTCCCACAGGCTCCTTGGCCTGGGCGGGATGGGCCCCAGGCAGCTGAAGTGTGCGGAGTGGGATGGGCACTGGCGTGCCCACTGGCACCTCGCCCCTACCCTGCCTCGCTCCACCTCCCTGGTGGTCATGAAGATGACACGTGTTCTCCTGGTGCACCATGGCCCAGAAAGCAGCCACCGTGGCAATGTACACGCTGGCCACACCATGGCCTGGCTCCTCCTCAGGGTCAGTCTGAAAAGGGGTGAGGTCAACTGCTGCTGGTTCCAGAGGAGAAACTAGTCCATGCAAATGACATGCAAATGACCTGTAAATGATATGCAAAGGAGCCCTGGTGGCTCACACTTCTCACTCCAGGCCCTCAAGGGGCTAAGGACCAAAGCCTATCCAGTCTCTCTGAGACCCCTGCGGACTGCCGCCCACCGCCTCCCCGGAGACCCTGGTTCTTCCTGGGCCCCCCAGGAACCATGAGTCCAGGCCCGCCTCCCGTGCACACCCTCCCTGATGTAGCTGGCATTGACGTCATCAGTTCCAGGCCTGCTGTCATCATGTCGAGCAGGATTACTCGAGTGGTGTCAGCTGGGAAGGGAGGTGCCGCTCAGGTCTCCAGGGTGGAGCTCATGGGCCCCACCCTGCCTCTTTGCCCACAGACCCCTGGAGAGCAGAGATGGGGGGTCCAGGTGCAAGAGGGAGCCTTAGGTCAGTGGTGGCAGAGGCACGGCCTCCCCCCACCTCCCCCAGGCCTGACGGATGAAGCCCTGCCCTCTGCCCTCACAGGGAAGGGTGTTCTTGTAGTGATTCTTGGGCTTGTTCTCCACCCACTGTCCCTCCTTCAGGGGTACAGGAACCCACATTCCTTCTGCTGCAGCACCTGAATGTGATGGAGCCTTCAGCCTACAGCCCCAGTCCGTCCCAGATCTTAGATGCCTACTCCAGCCCTAGATGTCCATCCCCAGACCCTAGATGCCCACCCCAGCCCATCCCAGACCCTGGATGCCCACCCCCAGCCTGTACTGGACCCTGTGCTCCTCTCAGGCACTTGCCCCAGCCCCAGGGGACAGAGTCGGAGGGTGGCAGCCATCAGGGCGCACCTCGAACTCCTCCCAGAAGCCCTTCTTGGCCTTTCTGCTGGCATTGGTGGTCCTGCTGAGCTCCTGTACCTGGCTCTCAAGGCTCCAAGTACTGATCCTCGTGGCTTAGAGGGGCTGCCACAGAGATGCCCATGTCCAAGCTGTGGGGGACCCAGGGCCCCTAGGACCCCAGCACACACCCCCAGGGCCCAGTGGAGCCCACCACACCCCCCGCCCCGAAGACCCCAAAATACCACCCTTGAGGGCAGCTGCCCCAGCCCCCACACCCCTCCACCTACCCCCCTGCCCCGGGCCCCAAACCCTCATCAGGTCACGGAGGTCGCCATCATGTGGACACTGGGAGAGGCTTGCAGGCTTCTCCTTCACGTGGCCATTCAGGCGCCTAGGGTTTCCCCTGGCAGGTGGTCTTCTCTGATGCCAGTCAATCCCCAGCCGCTTTCCCCTCATTCACATCCCCCCTGGAGGTCAGGGCCACCCTGCCCCGGGACCCTGTGAGTTCACACATGGGTAACCCCGCTTCTGGGCACTGAGGAAGGAGAGCTAAGGACCCAGGTCCCACTCTGGACCCAGGGCTCTGGTGCTGGGGAGGGGCCTACCTGCTGGAGGTGCACGACGGCCCCTGCCCTCTCCACCATCGGACTCTTCCTGCACTGCTCCCCCACGTCCCCGACAGCGAGGGGCCTGGCCAAGGCCACTTGCCCTTCCCAGGGGCCCCCGCGGCCCTCCGCCCCCTCCCACCTGTAATCGATCGTGATGCGGGCGCCCCGTGCCCTGCGCCTTGTCCTATTCCTGTGCCAGCACCGGCGGCGTGGCGTCCCCAAGCTTGCTCTGACTCACACCGGGAAGCTGCCGGGCGCCCCTTCACCAGCAGCAGCTTCTCGGCCTCCTTGCCAGACCACCTGGCAGGGGACAGGGGAGCACAGGTGAGGGGCAGAGACGCACATGGATGGGGCACAAGGCTCAGATAGACGCACGCAGACCTTTGGGGTCCAGGCAGCACCCCCATCCAGGCCCCATCGCTGCTCTGCCCGCCTCCCTGGCCCTCACCCCGTCCGGGAGCCGGCGGAAGGCTGGCGGGCTCTGCAGGGGCCGGCACCAGCCACCAGGTGGCAGCCTCGTCCTCAGCAAGGAGGGGCCCAGCAGCCTCCCCAGACCAGGCCTCCGTCCGGGCAGGTGCAGCCCCTGCTGGAGGGACCAGCTCGGCCCAGGGCACCACCCAGGAGGAACCGGCTCCCCAGGGCACCCGGGCGACCTTCAGGAAGAAACCCTCTGGGCCTCGGACTTCCAGCCTCCGAAGGGAGGGAGGCGCCTGCCTGCCCAGCTTACAGCAGCCCGGCCGCCTGACGGGCCTCATCTCCCGGAGGGCAGACGCTGTTCCACGCACGATGGCGTCCCAGGTCTGTTAACACTTGATGGAGAGGAGCGACTCAGAGAGGGGTGAGGGTGGGTGCGCAGGGAGGGGCGAGGCTGACGGGGCCTGTGTGGCCCCTGGGGGCCAGGCTCCGTGTCTCAGCGCAGGTCAGGAAGATGGGTGTCACGGAGGAGCTGGGTCCCGGCTCTGCACACCTCAGGGCCCAACTCAGGCAGAGGCTGGGGCTGTCGGTGTCGGGAGGGGAGGCTGCAGCCTGCAGCCCTGCCCCTTCCTGGAGAACAGCCTGCCCTGCCCCGGGACCCCCTTCATTCACATCCGCCCCAAGTTCAGGGCCGCCCTGCCCTGGGACCCCCCTCATCCACATCCCCCCTGAGCTCAGGGCGGCCCCAAGCCTGCGTATGAGATCACAACTGCTCCTTACTTTCTTGGCGTGCGTCTCCAGTGCTCAGGACTAAATTGTACGCATGTGGAGCCCCAGAGCCCAGAAGGTCAGCAGAAAGAGCCACACACGTGAGTGACAAACGGAGGGACGAGGGGCGGGGGCGAGGCAGGAGGCGGTGAAGGAAGGAGCCGAGGACTCAGCGCCCCAACCCTCTGCCTTCCTGGCTGCGATGTCTCCCCAGGGACGGCTCTGGGACATCTTCTGGCTGCACAGATGACACCCAGCGGGCCGGCGCCTCAGGACCTCCACACCCAGGTCCCCAGGACGGCGCCCCCACGCCCCACACTGGCCCAGTCCACTGGTTTGTGGAGTCATAACCTGTGCACAAATGGGGGGGGGCTGTGGCCTGCCCCGGCTCCGGCGGCCCCTCCACCCCACAAAGGGCTGTTGCTGGGCTCTTTCTGGAATAAAGGCCACACAGCAGTGAATGAGAAAGGCCTCCATGGCCAGCTGCACTGGCTCATGCCTGTAATCCCAGTTACTCAGGAGGCGGGCAGATTGCCTGAGCCCAGGAGTTCAAAACCAGCCTGGGCAACACAGCCAGACCTCATCTCACTTAAAAGGAAAAGAAATAAAAAATAAAGGCCTCCACAGCCTCTCATTCTTGAGAGGAATTGAGTGGGATGAGTCGGTAGAGGGGCGGGGGTAGGTGCAGAGGGAGGGGGCGGGACCAACAGGTGCTAAGACCTTGCTCCACCTGTGGCACCCCCAGCCCTGGCTGGACCCCTGGAGACCCCATCCCTGGCTCTGGCCCGCCCTGGTTGGGTCCCTCTCCCCCTGGGAACCCCATCCCCGGCTCCGGCCTGCCCTGGCCTGGTCCCTCTCCCCCTGGGGACCCCATCCCAGGCTTCAGCCCGCCCTGGTTGGGTCCCTCTCCCCCTGGGGACCCCATCCCGGGCTCCAGCCCACCCTGGTTGGGTCCCTCTCCCCCTGGGGACCCCATCCCGGGCTCCAGCCCGCCCTGGCCTGGTCCCTCTCCCCCTGGGGACCCATCCCGGGCTCCAGCCCGCCCTGGCCTGGTCCCTCTCCCCCTGGGGACCCAATGCCGGGCTCCAGCCCGCCCTGGCCTCTTCCCTCTCCCCCTGGGGACCCCATCCCCGGCTCCAGCCCGCCCTGGCCTGGTCCCTCTCCCCCTGGGGACCCCATCCCTGGCTCCAGCCCACTCTGGTTGGGTCCCTCTCCCAAGCCCCAGCTCCCCCTCCTCCTTCAGGTGCTGCCTCCATCCCTGGAGCCTGCCCTGCCCCTCTGCTCGCCTCTGAGCACAGCTTCTGGAAGAAGTGCCATGGCTGTGTGATTTGTGAATGTGAATGAGTTAAAATTCAGCAACGGCAAAACTGCTGCTGCTCACGAACACCGTGGTGCGGCCGGGGCTGGTCGGCACCGCCACCCTCACCCACATCTTCAGGGCTGGGTCCCGCCCTCCAGGCCCACGCAGGACTTGGCGCTCGGGCTCCTTGTGGCTGGTCAGAGCTCCGTCCTTCCAGCGCGCCTTCTCCGGTGGCTCCACGGAGGCTGCACTCCCCGGCTTCCCACCTTCCCTGGCTGGGGCCCTTCACCCTCCTCCTCTTTTGGAGCCCTGATTGGGAGCCCCCAGGCTCTGAGCTCCTAACCGACACCTGGCTTCAGCATCTCGGTTTGGAACGTTAACAACACCTGTTTCCTGACATCTGCAAAACTCAAAGCTCCTGATCAGGCTCCACACCCCTGACCCTGTTCATCTTTCCCATTCGGGCAAGGGTGCCGGCCCTGCCCTCTGCCCCGCCCCCGGCCCCTTTTGGCACACCCCTCCCTGGCTCTGATCCATCAGCCCCTCTGGTTCTACCTTCAAAAGGTGCCCAGAGACCACACAGGGTGGTTTATGCCTGTAACCTCAGCACTCTGAAAGGTCTGAGGCGGCCCAGTCACCTGAGGTTGTAAGTTTGAGACCAGCCTAGCCTAACCAAGAAGGTAAAACCCCATCTCTCCTAAAAAAACAAAAATTAGTGAGGCATGGTGGTGTGTGCCTGTAGTCCCAGCTACTCAGGAGGCTGAGGCAGGAGAACTGCTTGAACCTGGGACGTGGAGGTTACGGTGAGCTGAGATCGCGCCGCTGCACTCCAGCCTGTAAGACAGAACAGGACGTGGTTTCAAATTTTAACAAAAGGTGCCCAGAACTGACCAGTTCTCCCACCACGCCTGGCTCCACCTGACCCCACAGCCACGCATGGCAGACAGGGGCTCTCAGGAATTGCAGGTTGGAGCTGCTCCCAGCTCAGTGTTGGCCTCTATGGCTCTCAACAGACACAGAGTTCCGTCAACCCCGCCCTGGCTAGCCACCTTGGCCTGCCCTGAAGCAAGGCACACACCTCCAGAGAGGCCCTCCCAGGCTGGCACTGACCCGTCCCTGTCCCTGCTTCTGTGTACAGTGCCGATAACAGCAGGCAGATCCCCCATGTTTGTGTTCACTGGTCTCCCTGTGTCTTTGCCTCTAGAGGAGGGCCCGGGGGAGTTGGCCCCGGCCTCAGTGGCACCCCAGGGCCTGCACACTGGTTCAGGGAGGCCCAGGCACTCAGAGGATCTGTGCAGGGCCCCCAGCAGTGAGCAGACCGCTGTCCACACCTGACCTGTGGGGAAAGGGGCATAGCCAGCCAGGCACATCCTGGGCACTTGCTGGAGTTGCTGCCTAAGCTCCTTCCCATGAAACTGGCTTGGTGGGGGGGCCAGACCTGGGGGCAGTTCCCACTGGGTGGTCCTCGGGGAGGCTACCAGGAAAGGCTTCCCGGAGGAGGAGTGCCACAGGGTGACCTCCAGGGCCAGTCATGGGAGAGCGGGGAAGGCCACCGGGAAAGGGTAAGCGCAGCCCTGGACCCAAACTGAGATGCCGCAGGTGCGGGGGTCGGGGGCAGGGACTAGAACCCAGGAGGGAGCTTCCACCCATGGCCTCAGCCTCCACCCACCCCCCAGAAGGGTGATGCCCAGGTGTGGGGGTGGGGACGAGGGTGGGGACACAGAGTGCGTGAGGGACCTTACCTGTTCTGTGGGGACTCTCAACCATACTTCCCCCCTCCTCTCCTGCCCGAAAGCTACCACCGAGTCTGTGGCATGGAAATCTCCAGGGGTGGGGCCCGAGGGCTGTATCGGCTCACACCGCCACCCCCATCCCTCTCAGGCAGCCGCTGCAAGGAGGGGAGGCACTTACGTTGGTACCTTTCTATGCACTTATCAGAGAGAGCAAAGGCTCTTACGATTCCTCTCTTCTTACTTCTCACAGCTTCTAAGAATTTACAAGGGCGCGTCGGGTGGGAAAGTGGAACATGAAGGTGGACGAGGTTGGTGACCGTTGGAGCACGGCACCTCGGAGAGGTGTTTAAGCCCCCGGACGTCTGTGGGTCGGCTGGCCAGTGTCACACCTTCCTCGAGAGCCGGCAGAGCAGCGTTTTCTCTGAACTCCCCAGTGAGAGGGAAACTCCCCCTCACGGCCTGCTAAGTCACGGGCGCCTCCCCAGGGCACTTCCCCAACGCTGCTACCACAAGGCATTTACTCTGGCCTTTTACCAAGGGACATTTACCATGTCCCTTCAGTTCCAAATTACATTTCACCCGATTATGTCTATACTATAAGAGGGCTGGGCGCGGTGGCTCACGTCTGTAATCCCAGAACTTTGGGAGGCCAAAGTGGGCGAATCACCTGAGGTCAGGAGTTCGAGACCAGTCTAGCCTGGCCAACATGGTGAAACCCCATCTCTAAATAAATAAAAATACAAATAAAAAGACTAGAATGTTCCTACACTAAAGCAAAGATTAATAGAGAATAAAGATGTAATAAGATTGATTATGTAATTGATTGTGTGATTGAATCTAAGTCTAACTGGTGTCATTGCTGTAACTAAGTGATCAGTCATTTATTGTGCTGGGATAGATTATGCCTTCCGTCTCTTGACGTGGCACCTGGACAACTTTCTTCCCACACCCACTGCCATCCCAGCCTGAGCCTGGGCCTCACACTGGGCCTCGAGGTGGAGCTGGGTGCTCAGCAGGCACGGGGGAGGCCCCGGTTCCCAGCTCCCACCCCTCCCCTGGAGGCGCTGCTCAGGCAGGAGAGGGGCTTGGAAGGCCCGATCCCCATCCCAAGGGCTAAGGGTCACCTCCGTGCCGAAGGGCTCCTGGCTCTGTGGGGGGCCGGTGACTCGGCTCTACCCTGGTGACGTGGCCCAAAGCTGAAGGGACAAGGTCGTGGGGACTGTGAGGTGGGCGGGACACACTGGGCTTTCGGCCCCCAAGGCCCCCAACAGGTCTAATGAGGTCACCCAAGAGGTCAGCCTGACCCAGACTGGCCGCCAGCTGCTGCAGCTCCCTGTGTGGCTTTGGTCTTGGCGTCTGATCCGTTGGGGGAATGGGTCCGATGCTGGGACCCTGGGACTCCCCCTGAGGAGAAGTGTGGGTGGGAGGACCCGTGAATTGCTTGTCAATGCTCGCACACACACACGCACACACACACACACACACACACACACACACACACGGGCACTGTATGGGGGCTGCTTTACCCCATGCCGGGGCCTGGCCACACCTGCCTCTTGGTGGCCGGCATGCAAGGCCGGGGGGAGGGTCTCAGAGCTCTGGAGGTGCCCTTCCCACCTCCCTCCCTAGAAGTGGAGGTCTCTCCTGCAGCCCCCAGGGCCAGCCACTCGGAGGCGGAGGAACCACAACCAGGGGGGACTCTGCCTCTGAGACCAGCCACAGCCCCATTTCTGTCCCCAGTCCCTGAAGAACAGGGGACCCAGGGGCTTGGGGGGCCCACCTTGGAGGGGCCCAGGACCCAGACACCAGCATTGCAACAAAACATGCACCAGTCAGGACCTCAACAGCCCAGCTCTGCCGCCCCATGTCCGAGTGGTGTTCACTGAGGTGCTGCTGACCCCCAGACCATGAGGAGGGGCTGGGGCAGCGGGGTGGGCTCGACCCTGGGATTTGGCCTGGCCTGCCCAGGCCTGATAGGGTTGTGGGCAGGGTCCCAGGGGCCAGAGGAGTAAACAGTCCAAATGGTCATCCCAGGGCAGGGTAGGGCAGGGTGGCAGGTTGCGGCAGAGCCTGGCCTGGGGCTTTCCCAGGCGGGCCCCGGTCACACGCTGATGACATGCACATGGCTCTCCCTGAGCCCCAGCACTTTGCCCAAGGGTCCTGCCAACCCGTCCCCAAAGGGACAGTACACAGCAGCCTCTTCCTTCCTGGGTTCCGGCTGGACGCAAAGCATGAGAAGCACAGGACTTTGGACTGACAGGTTCTTGGTGACCTGACTCAGTTCCACTGTTGCTGAGCCTAAGGGGCCCAGGACCCTCCAGGAGGCTGCCCGGGTTCCCCACACACACCTCGTTTGCTGGGTAGGGTGGGCCAAGGGTCTCTACAGACCTTGAGCTCTGGCCAGGAGAAGGCCTGTGAGCCCTACTGGTCC